GTAAAAAAATATTAAAGCATAACAAGTACCAGACAAATCCAAAAAAAAAGTCTGGGGAAAACAGATAACATAGTTATGCAGAACTGAGCTTCATAACATTTCATCACAATGTCCAAAAGAAACTTTTTTTCTCTCTCCGATGAGTGTATTTCTTTTTTTTCGAAATAAAATATTCTTATCTCAGCTAGCTTGGCCTCAGTCTCGTTCTCTCAATCTCATTAATCACCTCTTCTATATTAGCTCTCAATCCCGCTTTCTGAGTTGGCCTGCTCTCAACCTGTTTCTTTATTGGCTTGCTTTCAACCTCAGTTTCTTTACCGGCTTGCTCTCAGTCTCGCTTTCTGAGTTGGCTTGCTTTCAACCTATTTTTTTTAATGGCTTGCTCTCAATCTCGCTTTCTGAGTTGACTTGCTCTCAACCTCGGTTTCCTAACAGCCTTCTGGGTCGAACTGCTCCCGCCGACAACCTCCTCCTTAAAACGGGCCTTCGACGAAGAACCTCTGCCGGCGCCCTTCGTCTCCGGAGGTTCGAGGGAGTGGCTGCTAATGGCGTCGACGAGGGAGAGGAAGTGCTGCTGCATCCGGGCGGCGTGGTCCTCCAGGCGACGGCGGGCGCGCTTGGGGGCCTTCTCGCCGCCCACTCCGTCGATGCCTACTTCGGGTGCAGGTCCTCCTCTGCCTGAGGTCGTGGACACTACCCCGCTGACGTCCTCTTGGCACTGTGTGGAGAGGAGGGGGGGTGGGAGTCCCTGCGTTATATACGTTTGTGTGACTATATGAAATTAATTACGTTTCTTAGATTGCGTGTGGAGAGAGGAAAGCGGCATGGAGAGGGAGAAGGTGAGAGGAGGAGGAGATGGGAAGGAGGGAGAAAGAAGGTGAGAGGAGGAGGAGGAGGAGGAGGAGGAGGAGGAGGAGGAGGAGGAGGAGGAGGAGGAGGAGGAGGAGGAGGGGGGGGGAGGGAGGGAAGAAAGGAAGAGGGAGGGAGGGAGGGAAGACAGGAAGAGGGAGGGAGGGAGGGAAGACAGGAAGAGGGAGGGAGGGAGGGAAGACAGGAAGAGGGAGGGAGGGAGGGAAGACAGGAAGAGGGAGGGAGGGAAGAAAGGAAGAGGGAGGGAGGGATGGAGGGAGAGAAGAAAGGAAGAGGGAGGGAGGGAGGGAAGAAAGGAAGAGGGAGGAAAGGAGGGAGGGAGGGAGAAAGAGACAAACATCGCCTTACCTCATTCTTCTTATCAACACATCTGGGCCTCTTGTTCGTCTTGGCGGCCGGAGGAGGAGGAAGAGGCCCTCGCAAAGGCTGGAGTCGAGAAAGAGGTGGATTAGAAGGCTGGGAATGCGGGACGGGCTGAGGAGCAGGCTGCAGGACCCGAGAGAAAGCCGAGTTCACGTGCAGGCCGTCCGCCAGCAGACTCTGGACCCCGACGTGTGAGGGCGTGGCTTGACTCGCGGCTGAGGCTTCGATGAGTCCGCCAGCGGCCGGAGACGTGTTCGCGACAGGTTTGGCCCCGCCGTCCGACCGGGGGTGGATCACCCTGAAGGCGGACGACCACGATTCTCCTGCAGGAGGCATGAGAATGGGGTCCCCGGTCATGGAGGGCGGGGCGGCAGCGTGGGGGTCACAGGAGACGGGCGTGGACTCCGGGAGGAGGGAAGGGGGGCGGTGGGTCGGCCTCTGCGTCGTGGGTTGCATGACCTTCGAAGATCGGATCTGCACGTGCGTATTCTGGAGTTTTCGTAGGTTTTAGTCAAGATGAGAATGCTTTCAACGGGAACTCTGATAAGTGCTGCAGAACGTGCAGTCTTGAATCTATGAATGGGACTTGCAATAGAAGAGAATAAAAATCGAAATTGGAATGGATGGAAAGAGCAGAGAAAAAAATTGCAGGTGTACTTATCCATCCCGCACGGAATGATATAAGTGGGTTTATGTGGAAGGTAATATAGCAAAAGAGTTAGTAGTGCAGGGTCCTTTTCTGTAAAACGAAGATGATCTGGTAAAAAAAAGAAACACACGATAGTAAAATTAAGACAATATGGATTAATGTGCATCGAGGCCTGAAGATAAATGCATAGAAATTAGAGGCATTTTCCTGCGTCAAAGAAGAATATGCTATAGACAGAATATCAACATATGAATAGAGGAACAGTACGAATTGAAAGTAAGAAAAATAAGAAAGTAGAGAGGACAAGCAGTAGAGAGTAAGAAGAGAAGAGAAATGGCGTAAGAAATACAGTAAGAAGTAGAGGAGGAGTAAGAATTTAGAAGCAGAGGAAGAAAATAGTAGTAAGAAAATGCAGTAGAGACTACAGGTGAAATCAACCTGGACGCTGAGAAAGGCGAAACAAAATGAAATTAGAGCAGAAAAACCCGGCGTAACAATGATAAATAGGAGGCAGTGATTATTGCTATAAACATCAGAATATGAAGAGCATCTGACGGCACGAACACACTACGAAAAGGAGAAAGCCATTGGGTAAGAAGGACGTGAGTTTAAGATGAGGAAACCTGATCGAAAGAGAGATAGAAGTGAGGCTGGCGCTTACAGGAGATAGTGTCACTGATAGACACGTATGGATAAAGCTTATTAGGACTTCTACTCATATCCTGAATTCGCTTGTCTGTCATACGCCAATACTGATACATACTTAACCTCAATAAATATATCCTTTAAAAATCCTCCCTTTTAATAATTTAATTTATTTTGATTACAGTGAAAGATTACATCTTTCCATGTCCAATCTTTGGGATACAACTAGTAATGAACCCTATACTCTCTTTTCTATATTTAATCAGCCGGCACTTTATACTTATGTTTACCTCTATCTAAAATTATTTTAAAAACTTGTATACAGTATTTTGATTAAGGGATTACACAACTTTTAATAATTTTCCTCTCACTCAAAAGATACTCAAGCGAGGGTGAGTTGCCACTTTTTCCGTTCCAAAGACTAAATGAAGCATAAGGAATCCTAACCCTCGTGAGCGCTGGGAGAGCTTCCACGTCCTTTGGGGCTGAAGAAGCTCTTGTCGGATCCCTTCCATTCTCCGTCAGCCCTGTCCTGCCGCCGCTCCTTCCTCCTGCGGCGTGGTTTGTCCTCCCGCCGGCCAGTGGACCGAAGCAGGACCACACCTCCGCATCACAGGCCTGCGCGAAGGGGTCGTCCTGCACTGCGGCCTGCGCCCTCATGCGTTCCTCCTCTTCCTCTGCGGCCTGCTGGTGTTTCTGGAAAGGCATGAATCCCGAAGGGCGCTCGAGAGGCTCCCTCCCCACCAGTACCCGTGGGGCGAGAGGCTGGGACGTGGAGGAGGAGGAGGAAGGGAAGGAAGAGGAGAAAGAGGAGGAGGAGGTCACCACCGAGGCCCCTGCCACGCTCTGAGGTCCTCCCCCCCGCCCTCCCCATCCCTTCCCCATGCTGTCCCCAACGATCAGGCGGAGGTAGTGCGTCTTGGCGTCCTCCAGCGGGTCTCCCAGCGATGAGGGCGGAGGCGGGTCGTCGTGGTCGTCCAACATACTGTCGTCGGGGTCGTCGTCGTCGTCTATGCACACGTCCTCCTCCATCCCCTCGCCATCTTCCTCTGCTTGGGGAGGGGAAAGTACGTCGCTATTTATACTAAGGACTGAGATTTTGATGACGAACGTGACTCACGATTAGACAAACCCAGAAAAAAAAACAACAACAACAAAAAAAACGTAAACAAAGAAATCTATTTCGCAAACTATGCACCCAACATTGGATATTTCGCAAACAACTCAACAAATAAAACAAAACAGAAAATCATAAAAAAAATACTTATAAACCCCTTAAACCAACCGTCTTCGGAGTCCTGGGCGATCGAGAAGATGGTGGGCGTGGGCGTGAGAACACTTTCATGGAAGCTCTCGGGCGAGGTCTGGTAGGCAGCCTGGAGTCGGGCGTTTACTCTCGAGCAACGCCATACGCCTACGACCAGCGTCTCGTAGGCCTATTGGGGAGGAAGACATTGCTGTTCATTGGGTATTTTGTGTTTTTTCCCTTTCTGGAAATGAGCTTTTAAAGATTACTTATACTTGATGATGATGATGACGCCGAAAGAAAGAAAGGAAGAGCAGATGAAAGAAAAAGAAAAAGAAAAAGAAGAAAAAAGAAAGAAAAAAAGGAAAGAAAAAGAAAAAAAAAGAAAAAAAGAAAAAAAGAAAAGGAAAGAAAATAAGAAAAAGGAAAAGGAAAGAAAAAGAAAAAAAAGGAAAGAAAAAGAAAAAAAGAAAGAAAAGTAAGAAAAAGAGAGAGAAGAGAAGAAAAGAAAATGATTTTAAAAAAATAATAATAAATAAACAAACCAAAAATAAAACATAAAATTCCACATTCAACCGTTCCACGATACCCCCCCCCCAACCTCACCTTATCCACCGCCCGAATCAAGTCCTCCTGAAGGCCCGGGTGGAGTCCAGGCTGGATCGCGAAGCAGCAGAAGTACCTCAGGCTCTGGAGGCCGGCGTGCGTGGCCAGGTAGAAGAGCTCGATTTGGCCAGAGAGCGAATGCAGAACTTCTGACGGAGGAGGTGACGCAGGTGACGGAATTAAATAAGGAATTAACCCATTGATTCCAGGCCTATATATGTGCGTGTTAATCGAATTCACATTTTTATTATTACTATTATTATTATTATTATTATTATTATTTTTATTATTATTATCATTATTACTATCATTATTATTATTATTACTACTACTACTATTACTATTACTATTACTACCATTATTATTACTATCATTATTATTATTATTATTATTATTATTATTATTACTATTATCATTATCACTATTACTATCATTATTATTACTATCATTGTTATTATTAATATTATCATTATCATTATTATTACTATTATCATTATCACTATTACTATCATTATTATTACTATCATTATTTTTTTTTCTTACCCAGAATAAGAAACCTGCGGCCTTAACTGCGATTCTGTTTGAATTTTGTTTACGCACCAGATGGTTTCCGAAGCGCTTAGTCGACAAGGTGTTTCACATGAGGCCTCAAGAGCTCGTATGGCTGCTTCTAGCCTTTTTAATGTTCGGAAGGATTGCTCTCTTTGTTTATAATGTGTTGATGTTGACGTTGATGATCATAAGGAGGATAGTGATGGTGATGTTGATGATCATAAGGAGGATAGTGATGGTGATGTTGACGTTGATGATCATGATAAGGAGGGTGGGGTGAGGGGGTGATGGTGATGATGTTGGTGATGGTGATGATGATGATGTTGGTGATGATGATGATGATGATGATGATGATGATGATGATGATGATGATGATGATGATGATGATGATGATGATGATGATGATGTTGGTGATGATAATGTTGCTAATAATATTACCGTTAGTAACGATGATATTAGCAACATTTTTTTTTTCCAACGAAAATACATAACATAAATTGAACAGGTGTGACCAGACGGGTGTAATAACCGACTCCCCTGGTGACTAAGCGCTTGTGAAGCCATCTAACCGTAAAAAAAAAAAAAAAAAAAAAAAAAAAATGAACCTGGGTGAGCGTATGTACCCAAAGCCAATGGGGTTAAGAACATAATGTTGGCAGCGATGTATTTCCGCTGTATTAAGTCTCCTAATTCTATTTTCTTGCTTGTTCATTGTATTTTTTTTTTCTATTATTACTGTAAGTGGGTTCTGGTCATTCGTTTGTCTTTTCGTTTAGCCATCTATCTATCCATTTATCTATCTATGTATCTATCTTATCTACCTATCTATCTATCCATTTATCTATCTATCTATGTATCTATCTTATCTATCTATTTATGTATCTATCTTATCTACCTATCTATCTATCCATTTATCTATCTATTTATCTATCTTATCTACCTATCTATCTATCTATCCATTTATCTATCTATTTATCTATCTTATCTACCTATCTATCTATCCATTTATCTATCTATTTATCTATCTTATCTACCTATCTATCTATCCATTTATCTATCTATTTATCTATCTTATCTACCTATCTATCTATCCATTTATCTATCTATTTATCTATCTTATCTACCTATCTATCTATCCATTTATCTATCTATCTATGTATCTATCTTATCTATCTATTTATGTATCTATCTTATCTACCTATCTATCTATCCATTTATCTATATATCTATGTATCTATCTTATCTACCTATCTATCTATCCATTTATCTATGTATCTCTCTATTATCTATCTATCTATCCATTTATCTATTTACCTGTCTATCCGTTTATCTATCTCCCTGTATATCTGTCCATTTATCTCTCTACCTATCGATCTACCTACCTACCTACCTACCAACCTATTCATCTCTGCATTCATCTATTCATCTATCTATCTACCTACCTACCTAACTATACATCTCTACATTCATCTATTCATCTATCTATCTATCTATCTACCTACCTACCTAACTATACATCTCTACATTCATCTATTCATCTATCTATCTATCTATCTACCTACCTACCTAACTATACATCTCTACATTCATCTATTCATCTATCTATCTACCTACCTACCTCCTTATCCCATCCACTCCCCCTCAATT